GGGGAGCCTGGAGTAAAGTAGACTGGAGAGCAGGGGCCTGGTCGGGTCTGGGGTCTGGAGTCAGTCTGACTGGGACTGAATCTGGTTCTGCCCTTGCTTCTCACCAGCGCGGGTCTTGGGTGAGTGGGCCTCTCTGCCTGTCAGTGATGCTATGGGGATTAAAGGAGATGCTGCCTGTGAGGCAGGCAGCTGCTGGCGCATAGTCAGGGCTTCCTCAGTGACACTTCTAGCACTTTTTGGGGGTGGTCTCTCCAAGGAGGCAGGAACCCCCAGAGCAGGAGCCGCATCATTGGCCTTTTCTCAGGCCCTGGTCCTTTGCTCTCAGTGGGGGGACCCCCCACAGGCCCTGGGGGAGACGGGAGGAAGCAGGATGGCAGTCCCGACAGGCCTCACCCAGCTCTCCCCCTCGCCCCCTGCCCTCAGGCTGAGCGAGTGCAGCTTCGGGCCAGAGCACGTGCCCCGACTGGCCACCGGCCTGAGCCAGGCCCCGCAGCTGACAGAGCTCACGTGAGTGACGGGGCCCAGCCCGTGGGGGCAGCCGAGGGGTGGGGCTCCCTGCCACAGCCACCCTGGTAACCGCCCTCTGTCCCCAGGCTGACCCAGTGCTGCCTGGGCCTGGAGCAGCTGACCGTCCTCCTGAGTCTGGTGAGGTGGCCGAAGGGGCTGCTGAGTCTCAGGTATCATCTTCCTGCGTCCCCCTGGGAGGGGGCCGTGACGTGAATAGGGGGGCAGGGGCGGGCACTGCAGTGTGGGTCCCCCCAGGATCGTGGCCCTAGCCATTTCCTACACCCTGGACACAGAGTCAACCCTTCCCATTAGTCCTAGACCCCCTTGGGCACACAGAGAAGCGACCCTCCTCAGGGTGAGGCCTGTGCTTGGGGACTTAAGAAAAAAAGAAAACTCCAGAGGATACCCAGCTGGGGTCAAAAATAACATACAACAAATATCATGTTTGCGTGTTCACTATGATCATTTTAAAACTTTCAGAAAAACAGATAAGATAACAAAAAGTAAAATAGTTTTGAAAACTCACATTCCCATCACCGGAGTTTGACAATTGTTCGTGTTTTTCCGTATTTGCTTCATATTTTTTTTTTTTTGGCTGAAGTATTTTAAAGTAAGTTATAGACCTCATAAAACATCACTCCTAAATATTTCGCCATAGGGCCGGCCCCGTGGCTTAGTGGTTAGGTGCGCGTGCTCTGCTGCTGGTGGCCCGGGTTCGGATCCCGGGCGCGCACCGACGCACCGCTTCTCCGGCCATGCTGAGGCCGCGTCCCACATACAGCAACTA